TTCTGGTTTGCTCTTCATTATCCTCTTGATGGCCTTGTTGGAGTCAAAGTTCTCGATCTCAGTGCGAAGAGGAGGTATCCAGAGCTGCAGTGATTTCCTCACCTCTTGCAAGCTGATGGTTCGGGTCTGCAAGAAGATCTTGTAGTTCTTTGGCGGTGAGGCAAGAGAGCGAAGTCTTCTCATCCAGCCTTCTGCGAGGGACAACTGAGCCATCCAAAATACTTGCAGGTTCATGGCGTTCCTCAACTGTCACGACATCCGTCAACGATGGAGGATCTTCAGCCTGCGCGATGTCGTTCGTCCTGACATACTTCCCCTTGTCAACCTCCACCAAGTGCCCACCACTTGTCAAGCTCATCTCGCAGTCGGGACCACGGATCACTCCAGGCTTCTTCCTCAGCCTCCAGTGGCCTTGAGAGTCGTCCCAGCCCTTCGTCGTCACCATGACTTTCCTCCCCAGGGAAGTAGAGCAGGTGTAGTGAACCCCCAGAGCTCGAAGTTGCATCCTTCCCCTGCGCTCACCGATATGCTTTGCCATCAACGGCCAAAGATCTTCGCCCTCCTCCGACGACCGGATCAGCGTGTTGATGCCCCTCCGAATGACCCCGATCTCCGCCTCCGCGCGACCGTTCGCTTTCCAGTCACTGCCGCTGGTGAAGGTGCGGTAGATGCCACGGTCTTCACACCACCGACGAGTTCCCAACATCTCGGCTGCAGCGTCACTGTGCACTCGACGAACTTCCATGCCGAGGTACTTCAAGCGCACCACCATGCGAGCAAGTCCAGCTTTGAGATTGGCACCATGCCGGGAAGTGAGCGTCTATAGTTCCGGATGATGACGTCCTCCGCTTCCACCTCCAGACGTTCCCATTCATCTAGCCTCCTTGGGTCACCCTCCTTGATTTCTTCCTCCTCCTCTTGCACGTCCGGAACAAGTGGATTGTCAGGAATGGTCTTCACCAGGGAGTTCATCGCTTGCCGAAGCATCGATCAGGCTCTGAGGAAGTGGATCAGCACCCTCAACGGTCTTTCTCACTCGGATCGCATAAGCACCCACCAGGAAGTAGCGCGACTTCTTGTGATAGTCCTCCCCTGGCCTGAACGGTCCACAGACATCCAAACTGAGCGTCATTGCATCAGGGTGTGGTACCTTTCGATGTGGTCTGCTCTTCCCAGCCCCCTTCAAGCACGTAGCGCACTCCTTGGAGAACGGGACGTGATCATTCCACACATGAGTTTTCCATTGATCGGCCGTCATCTTGGCCAGCGCAGTTTGATCCACCTCCACCGGCGTCTCGCCCTTGCCATCGAGCTCGAAGATGATTGCCTTTACCACCTCCTCCTTGAACTTGACAGGCCATGCCGCCCATCCCCGACTTTGATTGGATCTCTCCTCCATAGACGCTTCGGTGCTCACCACCTGTTCACGAACACGATGATCGGAGAGACCATTGAGGTTGAAAAGAAGTGGTATATTTGTGCCCAAAGTGGTTGGCTTTCGACGATCATGACCCAAGGCGCCCAAATCCAAACGGATCTCCTTGAGGTCGAACCTGTTGCGGAACACTTCCCACTCCGGCCAGGCGCAGAAAGATGGGCACCCGACCGGACCACTTGGAGTCTTGTACTCCTCTGGGTCCCTCGGATGCTCCTTGAGAAAGAGCACCATGCGACTGCGAGCTGCGCTAGCCAAGGTGTAGAGCCACGGCTGTCTCATCCAAAGCACCGCATCCCCAAAGGCTAGCTCTCGCATAGCGTCCGAGAGGTCCTTCAAAGCAAAGCGCTCCGGCCCAGATCGGGCGCGAAGAGGAGGAGGACCTGGTCTCCGAAAACGAAGCTTGGAGACTGTCCTGCATGGCGGTCCACCCAGGACCACATCCACAACACCCTTCTCGCACACCTCCGCCAGAAAACTGGTCAACTGGTCCGACAGCAAGTCTTGAGCAGCGTCCGGCGACTTGTCAATGCACAGGACGGTGCGGGAGTTGGAATCCAGGTGCTTTTTCCACCAGGCTTGATCGGGACCTGAGAAGAGGTGCAGGATCACAGATGAGCTTGAAAGCGCCCGTTGCCGTTGGCGACGATTCAAAGGCACTTGCTCCCCTGACCATCTCCCTGTAGGCACGACTCTGGCAATGAGCTCGTCCGGGACTTCCGGCCACATCTTTCGCAGATCATTGAGCCACCTCCAAACACTCGGTGCCAAGTCCCCTGGATTTCCCGCTTTGAGGGCGGACACCCGCCGATTCACGTCGGCCTCATAGCTCTCGAGCTCCTTGATCATGTCGTCGGCGACCTTTTGCTCGACCGTAGGGCATCCCGCCTCCAGAAGAACTTCAACCTTCTTGCCGAGTGAGTTCCATAGTTCAAAGGACTCCCCTTCCCATTTTACTTTGTAGCCCAGGCGCACAATCTTTCCCAAAGGCGCAATGGTCTGGGTGAGCAAAGTCCCAGTGGCTTCAACTTGTCGAAGAGTGGTCACCCCAGCGGCCAGTTCGACCTTGATGGGGATCGCTTTCTCAAACTCAGTCTTGGAACGCGCCGGCCTCAGCACATGGGTGGCCCCACCATCCAGAAGAGCCCTTGAAGGTCCATCCTTCGGGTTGACTGAGCGCATATTCACTGCCTTGATTGATGGTCGAAGCGACTTCAAGAGTTGTACCGCCTCCTTCACAAGGTCCTCAGAGGGCTGGATAGTTGGTGGAGTGAACGACGTAGCCGCAGTTCCCTCACTTGGCAACGCGCCCGAACTCTCACCATTCTTCCCACCCCCTTCTTTGCTCTTGGCATCCTCCGTCACCTCCTTCTTGACCTTGGGCGCGTCCTTGACAGGGCAATCTGGTTTCATGTGCTGCGTCGAACCACAGGTCCAGCACCGGCCCTGCTTTGACACCCCCTTCCACTCGTGGGGAAACGAGCACTTTTGCCGTTTCTTACACCCAGACTCCGAAAGGAAACAACGGCATACTGGCTTGTCGGAGTTGCCAGTCTTGAGGTCATTCTTGACATTCTTGGCCTCGAACTTTCCGTTCTTGGTGTCCTTGACGTCTTAATGGCATCAACCCCATCCTTTGCTTTGTCCTTTCCATCACGTGGTCTCCCGACCCACCATCGAATGCTGCTTCGCCCTCCGCCAGCAGCGACTCCGCGAACTGGACAACAAAACTGGGTCTGGAGGTTGAATTCCGAGTTCTTGAACTCTGGTCGACCAGCGGCGTCATGCCCTCAACGATGTCAACCACTCCCCCAAAGCAGATGGCACCTTCTGGTCAACAAGCTGTTTGAGCAACGTCGTGCGCTCTCCTAGGCCACCAGGTTGGTAGACTGTGAGGATCTTGAAGATGATGCCGACAGAGCCCACCTCACGTTGCGAAACCAGCTCTGAACGTAGCGACTCAGGAATGGCATGAGCAATGCCACCGATCCCCGTTGTTCGATGCGAAGCCAAGGTGGTCGCTGAAAGGCCGGAGGTGCAACTGGCACCAACCTCAAACGTTCCATCGGCTCCGAGTTCAACCACACACGGTAAAGAGCTCCCGCAACATTTAGGACCTCATCCCACCACATAGAGGAACTTGAGCTCATGTCACGTAGAAAAGGACCCACCGTTGTAAGCCAATCACCAGCAATCAACGGTCCAATTTCCGATTCTGACAACTCAGGTAGTGTTGCAAGGTCAACAGCACACGCACCGATTCCTGTTGGGCCATAATTCCTCCCAACCACGCTGGCAGGCCTGCATATAGGGAGCCCCAGGATCACCTCCACCTGGATGACCCGGGAAGCCACCACCCCCGCCAGGAGCGCCGCCGCCTCCGCCTGGAAAGCCGCCAGGAAAGCCGCCTCCTCCGCCCGACTCCTCCGCCCGGAAAGCCGCGAGGAGGTACCCGTGGTAGATTATCACCTCCTTGGCTGCCGGGATGTGCTCCTTTTGCAGTTCCGCCTGACTCCCTCACCGATGGATCTCTTTCGCTTGTCGCATCACCCGGAGCGCGCAACACTTTGCCATGGTCTTGTCCCGCATCCCCAGGACCTGCAGCTGTGCCACCCTTGAGAATCCCTGCCTCATAGTGACTTTGCCCAGCCCCTAAAGTCGACGAAACTTCCTTGGCCGACGCTCCAGATCCATCCTTCATGAAGGCCCGAGACATGTCCATCATGCCCGGAAGCAGCGACTGCATCACTCCCCCGGCTGCAGCTGTTGATACCCTATTGAACACTTCCATCAAACTTGTTCTAGGACCACCGGCTTGAGGGTGAGGTGCACCAAAACCACCGTGGAATGCATGTCCACCAAACGGCCCTCCAAAAGACCCACCACCATCCATAGGCGCACCCGGTGTCCCCGATGGCATTCTCATGGAACCCCACAGCCCCATGAAGTTTTTTTGTTTCGAGCACTACCATCAGGCATCATCCATGGTGGATTCTGGCCCCGTGAACCTGACGGCGGACCCCAGCTTTCCCTTTCCGTCATTGATCAAGCCCTGCAGGATGGCCTTGAAAGCTTCCGCCCGTTCACGTGGCGGGCTAGCCGTGGGAGTTTCACCTGGTAGGAGTTCTGTGGATTCTGACGGAAGGTAATGGCACGAAGAACTGCCTCGTCCCTCATTCCTCCAGTTTGCAGGCCCAAGCACCGTTGGAGGACCCGTAGGACGAGCTAAAACCCCTGCCGATGGAGGAGCATCCTCTATGGCCCGCACACCCCCGCTATCCGGGGTCTTCTCAAGTGAAGCTTCATCACTCATGGCTTGGAAATCCGAGAACCCTCAACGCTCAAAACGCGTATTTTGGGCTCATAACCCTCTTAAAGGACGCTGCTGTCCTTTTCTTCTTTGAACAAAGGGCTTCGGTTTGTGCTCAACTGCAAGCGAAAATCACAAAGATCGAAATCGGCAACGTGCTGTTATAACTCAAGAATCGCATATTGGATTAGTAGGGGGTTCGTTTGCCACTACAACCAGCTATCAGCGACGCTTTTCTTTATGTGATTCTGCAAGGACACCCCGTCTCAAGAGGCTTCCAACGAGATTGAGGCCTGAAATGAACTCAAATTTGTCCAGTAAATCAAAAGGCTAGAAATCTTGATTGTCAGCAGCCGTGAATTGGCGGTTGATTTGACGTTTTCTGTCCAGAGACCACACTTCCAAGATATCCCAAGAATCTGCAAGCTCTGCTTCATGGTGTGGGCATCGAAGAACTTTTACCAAACAAAAGATAGGGACAGCTATAAATTTGGTTGTTCTCCAGAAGTAACCTCATCTCGGCAGGCAGGAGAACTTTGGACTCGCTCAGCTGCACTTGTGGGTCTCTGACTGTGTCATATGGAGGAAAAGAGGTTGCAGGTTTCCCAGGGGTAGAAAACACTATAAGAGGCATTGGACAAATAAAGTTGTTTCTCTTGGAGGTGCTTGAAACATTGGGGAAACATTGAGGAAACATCTGCCCTTGATATAGCGACTCAGCTGCCTGCATCTTCAATCTGGCGGGATGCTAAAGCGCGAACAGAAAAGGAATTGCGCGTATGTTTGTTGTAACCCCGCGCATCAACATGAAAGACATAGTCATCTAATGGAATCTAACGTTGACAACGTTTGGTTGACCAGACCAACACATAACTGACTTGCTTGTGAGATTTGGCGTGTTGGATCGACAATGCTGGAGCCCAGCTTTCCAATGTTGGCTTTGACAGGCACACCGTGGAAACCTGACACTGTTTTTGATTCTCTTTGAGTCTAATCGATGCGGAATTACAACCGTCCACTCAATAGGAGTCCTCGGAGAGGGAGGGTTGTGGTTGCCTTCAGGAGGTTTTCGAGGAGAGTGGACTCACACGGCACAGGAATGGCGGCATGGGCTCAAGAGTCCTTTAAATCTATGTGTTGAGCATGTTACCGTACCGTTTGAAGCTGCAAGCTCTGCGGGCTTTGCAAACTGCTTTCCTTCTGAGACTTGCAGTTGCTGGGCATTCCATCGACTCTGATCTTCCATATTGGGATTGCTGGGATCAGAAGGTGAAGGATGAGGCGAAGGTATTTCACCTACACACTCCAAAGGTGGCAGGCTGTTCTGTTGTCGAGGATTTGAGTGGAATGGTGGGTCGCGATGAAGTCTTTTCCGACGAGGTTTGCTTTTCGTACTCATCAAAGGGGAGCTACGAAAACACCGTTGTAATGGTGAGAGAACCCCGTGCTCATGTTTATTCAATGTACCAGTTCTGCCACCTTGCGGTTGATCCAGGATATAGATTTATGGTCGGAATGAGGCAAGGGTTGAAAGGTCAAGCGAACTATCATTTGGCCAGTTCGTTCAGCGAGTGGATCAATGAATGGTACGAAAGTCCACGCTGGGGCAATTATGATATATACGAAGACTACGAGTTCTGCTACTGTCCATACAACTTGCAAAGTTCTCGGTTGGCTTGCAACAGCGAAAAGGATGCAAAGTATTGCTATGCAACTTCGGACTTCGAGAAGGTCATGAAGAACATTCATTCTGCGACAATACTTGGAGTGGTTGAAGCGTATCATGAATCGTTTTGCTTGTTTTCAGCTCAGTTGCTGGACTCTTTGCCTGAGCATTGTGACTGTGAAAGCCCAGCATGGAGTTCCTACGTCAAAACAAATGTTTCTCACCATGACCACTTCAATGGAACCTTTGGGTCGATTTATGATATGCCCAAAGACATCATTCAAAAAGTTGACAGCATGACACAAGAGGACCGTGCGCTCTACAAGGCAGGAGTAGAACGTTTCATAGTAGATATCAACAAGGTTGAGGTACGCTTTGGAAAGAAGATTCTTTGCGAGAGTCAGAGTCAGCAGCTAAAGCTGCAGGCAGCCTGAATTTGGCAGTTGGACTCTCGAAGCTTTGCCAACTTGGTCAAAACGGAGCGAAGCAATGCAAGCAGCACAGAACACTATATTATATACATACATGACAATATATTATATTAATTTATATGATATGTATATATAATATGTTATCGTATACAAGTCATGAGAGTGTAGTTGTAGAGCCCAGTGGCCTTTTGCAAAGATTTGCTTGTTGACCATGCTCACTGTAGATAACTGCCGCTGCTATTCCAGCTGAATAGTTGATTCGTGCTATCTCTTCTTTTAGTTTGGAGCTGCTTTGGCTTCCAGTCTTTTGCAACCACATGCCGCTCTGTATGCACAGAGTCGATTGGCCCTTGTGACTCTCATCATTAATCAGAAACTGGCATTGACTTTGTCCAGCTTGGCAAGTTCGTGCGGGAAAAGACTTCAGGCAGATCGATCATGCTTTGAAGGTTGACGAAGAAGATGTTTTGAACACTCCCAACCTCTCAGCGTTGGATAAAGCTTGAAGATTGGAGTTCACTTGAGGGTCATGATGAAACTTCGGTGCAAAACCCTGATTTCATTTCCCATGTAGCATGAATCACATGGATCAGAATAATCAGAACGCACGAATCGGACACATTGCGATGACGGGTTGATTTGACTCGTCCGATGAGGGGAGAATGGATCTCCAGGAGACGGAAGTAGCCGCAGTGCGGGGCCACACTCAGGCCCATCTCAGAAAGGCATGTCCGCTTTGTTCTCTGTCGTGTTTGAGACTGAAAAATTAGGTTCATGGTGTGGAAATGTGTGGAACATTGAAGATACTATACCACAAGAGATTGAATATCAGCCCTAAATGTGTCCAAACTGATTACACATCAAGAACATGCATTGCGACTCGGGCTTCGTTCATCACTCAGCCACGGTGCTTTGATAGCTGACACTGCGCACTTTTCCCTGAAATTTTTGGTGCATTGGTGTGCTCAAGGTCCATTCCAGTGCAGAACAAAGGTATGAAACATAGCGCACATGGTGTTAAATTGGTTGCAATTAACAGGTCGATCCAAGGCCAGGTAGGGTTTTGCATGTCCCAGAGCCTTCAAGACCCTGAAAGCTTGCCATCCATTCGTTTGAGAGTGCAACTTTCCGCAACGTGGAGTTGCCCAGCTTCTTGCCAAGGACAGTTGTGTTGTTCAAAGCTTTGCCATCACCACTATCAATATCACAAAAGGCGTTGTTGTCCGCAGTGCTATGGAAGATCCAGCATGAATTCTCACAAGCTGGGAAGGCAGAAGGCATGCCAGGTTTTGAGCAATCACAAGACAATTGCGCCAATTTGCACCAAACGATCCATTAGTCCAGTCTCCATGCCCCTCCAAGACCATAGCAAAGTGTAGAGACTATTTACAACATCAAGCTTGAATTTACAGCTCCACTGTCAAAGGCACAAAGCAGTCATGTCCGACACACTCCCACAAAGGCAGCCACAAAAGACAGACTATCAGCAAGGCTCCCGGTAAGATCCAAACGTGTGGCACAGAGCTCTGAACCATACTACGAAGAGATGGCCAAACAGCCAAACACCATCAAATGCACAGCCCCTGGTCGGGACTCGAAGATCCTCACAAGATGCATTCCCAACACCACCCAAGGCTCCTAAAAGCGTGCCGATAGAAGCTTTGCGGTCCATGAAAAGATGCGTTGCCGCATTCTGTGGATTTGCACTTGCAGCCACTGGCGGAAGGCATGCCCCAAGCAAACAGACAGGAGTTTGAAGTTTGTGTGATGCTTCTCGACTCAGCAGTTTGACTTCCTGTGAGGGTTTAAAGCAAAGTATCTACTGCTCGAACCTAGGGTTTCTTCATTTCCTTCGAAGTGATTTTGGGCCAAACTCCACCGTACAAGCCTTGGTTTGCTTGGGACGTTTCGGATACTTGAACCGGTGCAAAATCAAATCGGTAAACTACACATTTGGCCATAACATGGAGACACCAAAGCTTGGAACGCGCATGCGTTTGTCGTGCCAATTTCCAGATGGCCCAATTGTTCTAGGAACTGGCTCCGGCATTCAGAGAGCTAGGCAGCCTTTGACATTTTTGGCGGCTCTACTGAATTCTAGCCTTGAGCGCCGTAGCTTTTGTGGAACTTAAAGACATTCAGAACTTGCATATTGCATCAAGGCCGATTGTCTCTTCCACACATTCATTACACTGTGCAGTTGATAGGTGTTTCTGCAGGACTGCAGCTTGTGCTCAAAAGCTTTGACTAAGATTTGCCGGAGAGACCCAAGGGCCCAGGCGAACAGGTCTTCAGGCTGTGGCAAGAGGCAACATTGCAGCAATGTTCGTGTCCTTTCATTTGAGGGTGCGACTTTCCACAACGTGGAGTCGTCCAGCTTCTTGCCAAGGACAGTTGTGTTTTTCAAAGCTTTGCCATAGGCACAGTCGCAAAAGGTTTTGTGTCAAGACCCTAAAAGCGTGCCGATGGAAGCTTTGCGGTCCATGAAAAGATGCGTTGCCGCATTCTGTGGATTTGCACTTGCAGCCACTGGCGGAAGGCATGCCCCAAGCAAACAGACAGGAGTTTGAAGTTTGTGTGATGCTTCTCGACTCAGCAGTTTGACTTCCTGTGAGGGTTTAAAGAAAAGTATCTACTGCTCGAATCTAGGGTTTCTTCATTTCCTTCGAAGTGATTTTGGGCCAAACTCCACCGTACAAGCCTTGGTTTGCTTGGGATGTTTCGGATACTTGAACCGGTGCAAAATCAAATCGGTAAACTACACATTTGGCCATAACATGGAGACACCAAAGCTTGGAACGCGCATGCGTTTGTCGTGCCAATTTCCAGATGGCCCAATTGTTCTAGGAACTGGCTCCGGCATTCAGAGAGCCCGTCTCCGAGTTGTCGAAGTGTCGTCACAAGGTTATTTGTTCGACAAGCGATAGTAGCTGTATCTCTCCAAAACTGTTAAGTTATACCGTCAGTCATCCTCATGTTTCATGAATCATACAACTCAGAAGTGTTCAAGCTTGTGTCCGATTCTCATCCTGCGCCTTAGTCTCAATCATTGGCCAGCATGAATCTATGATGAACAAAACTAAGAGCCGTGATGACAGCTGGGTTGGTTTTTCTGCAACTCGTCACTGATTCCGGGCAGGGTGAGCTGGGTCGTCGACGTAGCGTTTTAAGCCTGTCCTTGCAGAGTTCGGACGTGTCACCTTACAGAGTTTCCCTGATAAGGTTAGTCAGCCGCTTTCGTCAAAGCTCCAGATGCTCAGGGATTCTTTAAGTAAGACGCCGCAAGAAAGGCTCCGAGATTCAACCGTGCAGTTGGCAAACGCAAGACACTAGTAATGCTAGTGCCTTTGAAATCCTTCGTTTGAAGCCAAGTGGCGTGCTCCATTTGAGCAATTTGGCCTTCCAAGTGTTCTCCATAGAATTTCTTAATATTGTAGATCCAGGTACAGATCTGACAGATACACCAAGTACAGTGACAGTTGGAGTGTGAGACTTGACTTGCAAGCTCTTGCCCATTGGCGTCGATTGGCAGAAAACGACATCTGGGGTGATGTAAGAGAAGTTCGATGTGAAAAGTACTCTTGTAGAGTTCAACAAGTTCCTGATTCAACCAATCTGTCACGAACGTTCGTCTGAATGGAGATTGCTGTTTCCACCAGTTTGGATTTATGATCTAACAGTGTGTTTATCAGAGCCCCAGAACAGCAAATGTTCAATTTGTCATGCATCCCATCCTGAGCTGTTGTGCTATTCAACTGACGTCGACTTGATTTCTGGTCCTTGGAGCCCCTCGAGTCCCTGGAGTCTCTGGCCTGGTTTGTGCTTTTGTGCGATGTGACTGCAAGAGATGGCACGGCGCTTATACGACGTGCGATTCTCAGTTGCTTTGACTTAGATAGCTGATGCAAACGCTATGTTTGTCCTTTGCTCTTGGATCTGGGAGAATGGTAAGGGCAAAGATAGCTGATGCAAACGTTCTTAGGATTTCTTTCCTTGTTTGCTTTCTTGTCAAGATGCAGACTGATACAGAGGGGAATTGAGGTAGTACGCCGAAAAATTGGGCGTGTTTCAGCAAGGGGAAGTGCTTGGCGTCCGTAGTTTCTAAGTCCAATAAGTTATCCTCCGGCAGCGGCAGTGGGCGGAAGTTTCAACACTCACAAACTGTTGCCAGTAGAATGCGAGTTGTGTGATGACTTGTGGAGTGGTGAATATTGAAGCAGTGAGGTGTAGAGTGGTGTACAAGCACCTGTGTTAAGTCGTTTGGTCTTGTAGAAAGTCGTCTGGATGCTGCGTTTACAATGGGGTTAGATGCAAGATGGCAATATAACTGGAACAGTGTCAGGTCAACAACATTGTTTGGATGCTGCGTTTACATGCAGGTTAGAGGGAAGGTGACCAAAAAGGGATTTGAAGATAGTCGACGTGGGTAGGTGGATACCTCGACTTGCGCGGCACTCGTGTCAGGTTTGAAAAGAGCAAGTAGAAAAGATTCATGTAGTCTCAGCATGCTGCATCTATGTTTGCAGGCTAATCTTCATGATAATGATAGTCCTACTCTTGCGTTCTCATTGGGTTTCGGTCACCAAACGCTGCAAACTTCGACATAAATCTAGTTCTTTTGTGCACAGGGGCAATGAATTCTTGATGTAGAGCAGTTTTGACAAACATACTTCCGTAGAGCGTTTACATGGTGTTTTAACATAAAACGGGTGACTTTTCGCACGCCGGGTGACTTTTGACTAATGCTGTGTTTACATGCGGCCGGGTGACTTTCTGCAAACCCGGGTGACTAAACCCCGACGCTAGTGTAGCATAGTGAAGGCTTGTCGTGTTACGATTTGTGATGTAGCATTGTAGCGGAGTGCAGGGTTGAAGTGTAGCGTAGCGTTGTCCTATGTCATAGTGCACCGCGAGTCATGTGGCAGCGGAGCATCCAGCATCTTGGAAAATGAAACGAAACGGATGCGCCACTCTCAGCTCTCAGCGCGCAAAGTGTGCCACCAAGCAACCGGCCCCAAAGCCAACGGCCAAAGGAAAGGAAAA